TCAAACAGGCAGTTTTAGCTTTTGGAATGCGTGAACTGACTTCAGTTGCTATGCGCCCATTGTTGCTGATGCAGCTGCCAAGGTAACTGCATTGATCAACTACCTCGAGTTCCTCGTTATCAAACGTCAAGGGGTCGTCAATTAGCTCGTGGTGTCGCAACAATACCTTGCACTTCAACGATGCGAAGCGCATGGAAAATGATGGGACCACTCTAGAGAGGCTATTCTGGGTAGAGTGCGCCGCCCCAACATCGTTAAACAACAAGAGAATATCGTCCACATTATCGAGACCAACTAGCCTTTCACCAGGCAGCACCACAACCTCTGCATCTTGAGATTCCGCAAGCGAAAACCCCATGATAGAGTCCACGACGTAGTTGTACCAAAATGGCGAAATTGGGCAACCCTGACGAACGCCACTTGTGGTCGGAAAGCTATCCGACAAGTCACCGTGGACTCTGACGCGACCTGTACTGTCGGCGTACATAGCACGCAAATGTTTACATATCTCATGGGAACACCTTTCTTCGCTAGTATTTCAATCAGGATGCATCGATCGACCGAGTTGAACATACTCTTGAAATCGAGGAACACAGCTATTGTCGGTCTGCGGTACTTGTGGCGCTACTCTAGCACCTGTGGCAAAGTAAATATGTGGTCTATACAGCCCCATCCGTACTGGGCGGGAAGCTACCTCTTCCCTACTCCGGGATTTTTCGTCCCGCAATGAAGCGACGGGCGAGAATCGCGGTCAGTAATTTTGTTACAACTGGCGTTAGGCTAATACCTTTTTGGTTAGCGCAGTCAGCGTACCGCCCTTCTTGTATATTGCCTATAATCGATTCACTCCAGTTAAAAAGAACAGGAGACCATAGGTGAACAGTTGTTTTCGATTATTCTCTTCAGACCATTACAATCATATTTAATGGTAAAATAAGAAACTGAAACCGACGAATTGGCTCAAATTACATAGTTAATTAACGGTTCAGTGAAGGAGGCTAAAAGTTGCTTTTTGATCTGACAGGTCGAGTTCGCTGGGATAGCTGGCATAACCTCTTCATTCCAGACTTGTTCGAATAGGTAGGTATTTGCTTTGCAAAGGACCTCTCCATCCTTAAATAGTGCAAGTGGGAGGGAATCCAGGCCAGCAGCTCGAAATTGATCAACGGCTGTGATCACGTTTCGGACGTCAGCCTCCGATGGAACATCTAAGCTAGACGGCGATGGCCTCAGCCTTCGTCACATGAGTAGGAACGGGTCCGGAAGTATAGTTAACTGAATTGCTCTCGAAATTGTTCCCCCTGTCTCTGATTGTCTCACTGATGCCTGGTTTTCTGGGACCACTGGTGCGAATCAGTTGGAAGAACTTGAGGTCATTGTCTACTGCTCCCGCATCTCCGTTTCTCGTGCCCTACTAGTCCACCAGGCTTCCTTGTCATCATGCAGGCTCCGCTTTAGGTCGCGTTTGATAGTCCGTCTGATCACATTGTGCTGATATTCAGCCGAAAGACTTCTTCTGGATTCCAACAAGTTCGTCGACCTCTCAGACATCTGGTGCGGTGACGATTGGTATTGCCGCAAGCAGAGGCTCCCGCTTCGTGCGTGGCGACCAAACTACTATTCCGCTGATGTTCAGTCATTAGAACGTGAGAACGAAATTTCGGTACGCGGGGCATCCTGGTAGATTTGTTTTAGCGGGGATTGAGATAATTTCGCAGTCACGAATCGAGGGTGGACACTTGACACGCCTCCCGATAAAGTTCAAAGCAAAACGACAGCGTACCAAAGCATGCTCAGCATCGATGCAAGTACACCAGAACGAGCAATAATCCATGAAGGAACTACGCTACCTGTAACTTATGGCAGTTTGATCGATTTGGATCCATTGCCGGTCAGCTACAGGAGGACGCCAATTGGTCCTTCGGCACTCACTGCGTCTGAAAGCAGTGCTACTAAGAAACAGCTCTTGCTCCGCACACACTTGCAACAGACGCTCGCCATTTTCCGTCCGGTCGGATTTTAATCCATACTAACCATCTAGCTGAACTTCTGAAGAGCCCAGGGGTCCTACTTATACATTCATTTTCCCTGCAAGTACTGTGATATCTAAACTGGCAACACTGCAAAGCAGCATGTTCGGTTCATGGTAGATGGCGTCTTTGATAACACTAGGATTCCAGGCAGTGGAGACGTAAGCAGAAACCACAAACAAACAGCGTCTATCGCTGCTTTATGAATCAACCTTAGTTAAAGTCGTCAAACGAGCTGTACGCAAACGGCTGGTCACAGGAATCCAATCAACCAACCATGACTCACCTTGGAGCTGAGAATAATACCCACTCCAGCTTGACCCGTTTTTGCCGCATCAGCGTCTCCGGATGCGTGCAACCAATAGCGAGAGGACAAACCGGGCGCAGTTAATTCAACAATTCTATTAGGTTATTAATAAGTAGAAGGACTTAAGTTATAATGTTTTCGTCCCGGTTGCTCACAAGCTACATAGCATAGCCTAGTCCGGAAAAGCACCAGACGCGTTTCGCCCTATTAGGGTGCGCATTCCCTCGGTCCCCTACTGGGGATCAAACCCATGACTGCTAGAGGCAGGTGCCAACCAGCCAACAGCTTAAGCCCATTAAATTTATTGCTCCTAGTTTCGGACACGCAACGCATCTCAGTACGCAATGTGTCCTACGTGCGTGCGAGTGCAGCTTCTTGACCTATTTGTCTTAGAGTGCACACCTTGAATGCTGTTAGGGAAACGGTACAGCTTGGCCTTATAAAGGGCAGTTGGCGATTGGTGTCCAGTGGAGGTCGTATGGGAACTTAGCTGCAGATGATTCGACTCCAGTGGCACTACGGTTGCAGTCAATTAAACGGAATTATATAAAGAAGGTTAGTAATTCAGTTTGAGAGAGAAGCAAGAGTAGTAGGTGGAAAAGAAAGATGAGAGACGCCAGTAGTAGCATGTTTTCGCTTATCCACTCAGTTGTATGCAACAGATAAGGCGACGCATAATAAGCTGTGCGACGGCCGATGCAGGATGTGCTTGAGTTTTGAGGGAATAGACTTGGTTGTATGTGAGCGCCCAGACCTAAACAGGAGAATGATTAGGGTCCTCAACCAAAGCCTTTGGTTCAAAATCCTGTCCGCAAGGCAGCGGGGAAGTGGCAATGGTTTCGTTTTACGGAAATGAACGCCATCCCATTTCAAACCCCTAACCTGGAGGACCAGAAGACTGAGTTTGACCTCTCATCATTGACCAACCTGGTAGGAGTAGCTATTAAAAGAGGCCCAGTGGAACCACCCAGTATAGCTCAATGGGTCAATAAGGTGCGCAAACCGTCGCCCCACGTTAAGACCTAGTATCTTTGCGACGGGTATTGCATTCACTTCCCATGTTAGCATTATATATGTGCTCGTCCCATGCTACCATTTTGATTACGGCGTTACTGGGATGACGGGCTGCCTGATTTTCACCATGATAATATCTTGCAACGGGCTACAAGCTGGCCATCGCTCTGTGCATGTCTGGGACAAATGTTTTCCTTAAGTTTACATCAGCACTGTGCATGTTAAAGGGACTTGCTTCGGCTCCGAACCAGTTGCTATCCCTATGCATATGACTTGGTTTTATCTATTCCGGCTTACATTGGATATGAATCGTGTGGGGGGGGGGTTGGTAGGGCAACGCAGGCCATCCACACTTTCTTTGCAGATTCAACCGTTCCGTGGCTGTTCGCGGTCGCGATAACAGGCACTTCTGGAAACGGGTACCACCACCCGTGTGTGATGCAATTTGTATCACGCAACCAGTTCCCTGTGTAACTATCAGAATTCGTTTTTTCATCTAATTCATCATCGCCCCTCCCAATCAGCAGGCTTAGGCTAGTCTGAAAAAGCACCAGACGCCGACGTTTCGACCTTCTGGGTCTCGTCAGTGGTGCGCCTACTCATCAGTACTATAAAATCTGTCCGTATAGCTTCTAAGTCCTCTGCGGTGCATTAGCGCTATGCGGAAAGTCCTAGCTCGTGAGGCTAGCCATTGTCCTCACAGTTCATAACTGGCATGGCAGTGGAAGATGAGCCGGGCTATATCATAGTCAACTATCAATCACGCAGGTCTACGGCTGTCACCCATGGCGAAGTGGCACTAGTTGCTGACATCCTGAAGTCATGGGAGCGGAATCCTGCCGGATTCCGCTGGGAGGCGCACCACTGACGAGACCCAGAAGGTCGAAACGCCGGCGTCTGGTGCTTTTCCACACTAGCCTAAGCCTGCTGATTGGGAGTGGCGATGATGAATTAGCTGAATTATACCAAAAATCCTCACTACTCATCAGAATTCGTTTTTACCGACCACATCCATTGTCTGTTCTGCTTTCTCCGTGGCAAAGGTTCCATTAATTATCGTATGCTCAATGACTATCCCATAACTATCTGTCTGCCATGCTCTTAGTTTATTATTTCATTTTTCTATCCTAATCACTTATTTATCTGTCCATTCTCTTACCTCCATCTCACGCACCGCTTCCTCCCTCTCTACTCACTTGGAATCTCGGTGGTTTGTCTGTTAGTATTTGTGTGATTATAATGTGGGTAACCTAGTTGGATGTTTTCGTTTAACAGCAACGTTCCTCATTTTAACTTTGCCTGGTGTCCGCCTTGCTACTACGTGTTCTCATGCCTTCTAGATTAACTAGCACGAATGTTGTTCGCACTTGGGTGCGTAAGCGTAACGTCATTAATCCAGTGTTCTGCTCACATTATCTCTCTGCTGTTCATGTTTGTACACTCTAAAGTGTTTACTTTGATAACCCTCTGATAAGCCTACCAGTTTCCTGTTCTAGCTCCTCTGCATCACTCATTCGCGTTGTGTCTGCACACCTCTTCCTGCGGTTTCCACATGCTTCTTTTTTGTAATATCTTTATGTGCATTGGCACTAAGTTCTTTTGGTTTCTTCTCCCCTTTTTGTACCTGATATTGTTATTTTCGTCGATAGACGACACTACCTGATTTCAAACATGGTGAATATACCGTCAAGCGCGTTCATGAAGAGTTCGTTTGGTTGCACGACTACTTGGTGGAGAACGAAGCCTACGCTGGCTATATTGTAAGTCCTGCTGCTTCTGTATATACTTCGTTATGCCCCCGACATCGATGATTTCGCCCGTCTTTCTAACACGCCTCCCTGCTCTACATCATGTCTGTTAGGAGAACGGAGCGGTAGTTTGTCTTTTCGATCAAATAGCGCCAAGCGCTGATGCAGCCACTCACTCGCACCGAAGGCTCTGAATGCTGTTGGGAACATCTGGTGTTACTCCCTCTCTCCTCACTCTGAGCGACACCGATGAAGTCTCCACGTCGGGTGCGGCAACGATGGCGAGAGCAACGGAATTAACCTAGTTTTACTTCCAAGTGACTGTAGTCTACATCGAGATCACATGTGGCAATCAAAACATCAGTTTACTTCAGGCCGAGTATTGAGCCCTGAGATTGAGTTGTTTGCTCTTGGCGATCACACGCAAAACACATCAAACAGCTGCGTTTCATCATGCGGCTGGATCAGTAAGAGTATGTACGCATGCCTTTTTAAACTGGATAAATTTCATTCCACTTTATTTGGTTTCTTCTGCCTACCTGCATAATTTTCTATCAACTGACACACGATCATTACTCTATTTGCGGTTATCTTTGTTAACTTTATCGTGTTTATGGCATTTTTGACTAACTTGTAGACATTTTGTACTTATAGCGAACTCGTTGCTAACCAATTTACTTCATATGCTAATTTATCGTAGAGGTATATCGGCATAGTTGTATTCCTTAACAGATATATTTTATTTGATAATGTCATTTCATGTGATTGGCTGTTGTTTGACATTCACAGTGTGACTGCGCTGAATGTGCATGTTGACAAGGTGCCTTTCTGTCTATTACTCACTCCCTCGTCCATACTGGCTCCAGGAGACAGTTGGTCGTTGTTGGAGGGGACGGGGTGCACGGTCGTTGTGGCCATGTTAGGCTCAAAGAGTGGTTCCATACACTCAGTGTGGAGCGGATGACGGTCCAGCCACTGCATAGTGTGCGCTTTATTCCCAAATGCAGCGTACTTGTGTGTTTACCTATGAAGGAGTGTAGGCTGGTTCCGTTGATGGAACTTGGCTCCCTTCCACTTGCCTCCCGATCTTATTCCTTCGGGTCCATCCACTGTTACTACTGTTGTGCCGTGGGCTCTTGTCCTGGACGCCTCCTCGTGGTGACCGCTGGGTGGGAGTCGGGTTATGGCGTTCTCCCTGCTAGGATCCAGGGCGCCAATCCGCATGAGTCAGTGAACTGACCATGTGCTAGACCTGCTGCCTTTCGGGTGTACATTTTATCGAATACTTTGGCTGAGGACCTGAGTTGTTCTCCTGTCAGATGTGGGCGCCATACCAGTATCCTAATCCATCATCTTCGGAGTTTAAGAAGCCGTCGATGGCCCTCTCCCCGTAAAATCTAGTTCACAGCTCGATTGGCGTAGTACACGAGCGCCATGCATTGTCTCTGACGGTGGAATGACACCTCCGGGTGTTCAATGGTTTGCTACTGCCTGCCTCAAGCCAGGCAGCCCTGGTCAAATTGGTGCAAACCCGCCAAAACCCACTTGCATCTGGCTGTGGTCGTAAGTGCATATTCTACTACGGACGCAAAACATATGATAATTGTTCCAGAACCTCAAAGGCTTAATGTGACGGACCTCAAGCAAATCCCAACCTGTCTCTGCAATCATATTTCCGAGCTGGATCTGCTCCCCACTGCCTTGTGGGTCAAGCTGTTGAGTCAAACGCACCGCGTGGAGTCCCTCAAGCAAACCTCCGAAGCACAATCGCCACCTCGCGTGCGATTGCGCACCAATGTAATCGTATGTCTGCGCGCAAAGCACTCCGCATCGGGTGCTGGAACGTGCGCACATTACTGGCCGGAACTCGAGTGAGCGCCCCGAGCGACGCATTGAACTCGCCGCGATGGAATTGGTGCGCTTCAACATCACTTTTGCGGCGCTCAGTAAAACTCAGCTCGCTGAGCAAGGTAACTTACATGAAGCTGGTGCCGGCTATATGTTCTACTGCGTGGGCAATGCCACCTCAGCACCACGGGATCATGGGGTCGGATTTGCAATATCCGATCGCCTAAATGGCCAGCTGGTGGGTGAACCTACAGGCATCAGCGCGCGACTGATGACTGTTCGCCTACGACTCGAAAGAGGTAAGCTTGCCACTTTTATAAGCACGTACGGTCCGACCATGTGTTATCCTGATGACACGCGTGATCAGTTCTACTGAGCTATCCTCCGTGATACGGTCTGTGCCGAGGAGCGACTGACTATTTCTGCTGGGTGCTTTCAACGCGCGCGTTGGGCGTGATGCATCAGCGTGGACAGATGTTATCGGTTCGCATGGCATTGGTTCAGCGAATGCGAACGGTGACAGAGTGCTCTCACTGTGTGCCACTCACGGCCTGACGATCACGAACACTCGGTTTGCACTGAGTGCGTGTGATATAGCAACTTGGACGCACCCGCAGAGTGGTCACGCTCACTTGCTCGACTATATCATCGTACGTCAGTGTGATATGCGTGAAGTGCGCATAACACATGTACTGCGTGGAGCTGAGTGTGGCATTGATCACAAGTTGGTGCGGACCAAACTGTATATATATCTTCCTAAATCTATGTATTGCACTCCTGCAGTGAATCGACGTAAATTTGACATCCCCTCGGTGCTGTGAAGAAATGTATTGAGCTGGAGAAAGCGATGGTTACACGCCTGTGTGATGTGGAGTGCATAGCCACAGTGGGCGACCTGTGGCACCACATTCGCGACCAGGTGACAGCTGCTGCCGAGGAGACCATCGGGCGCGCAGACTGTAAACGGCCTGATTGGTTTGATGAGAACAACGCGACGATTGGCGCATTGGTGTGAGAAGAATGCGGCCCTTGCTGCACATGTGGCAGACCCCAGTGACTTGGGGAAGCATAGTTAGTGTCTGAAACTTCGACGGCGACTAACCCGAGAGCTCCGTCTCCTTAAAAATGCATGGTGGACGGAGAAGGCGAAGCAGATGGAATGCTACGCCGAACGTCGCCAACACAAGGAATTGTTTGTCTCCTTGTTGACGATGTGTGGACCGAAATTGGAGCCGCTGAGGACGCTGATCGATGTTAGTTCAGGCGCTGTATTGTATTGCATTGTATTCTCAACAGTCTATTAGCTAGACAAAGAGCCAGCCTAAAACCATGGAGATAAGGAGATAAACAAGATTCAAAGCGTCATAATCATCGTGGCATGCTAGTTGAAGGTGAGCAACACACTTCAACTAATATGCCGCAGGAAGAATGGAACAGTTTGATAAAAAGCAGAACAAAACATTTTTAGTTTGTTTATCACACGCCGCTTTTGTTCTTTTTTTGTCATTTTAATGTTTTTAGAATTAAACATGTGAATCAATACAATAATGTACACAATTCTTCCACTGATTCCGGTTGCGGGCCATATCTTCAAGAGTGCTAAGCCATTGGCACTCCTCATCTTTGGGTCCCCATCCTGGAAGACGTACGGATCCTACAGCGGCTAGACACGACGTCAGCGATTTCATGTGCTGCCGCCAAGTGGAAGGCTGACCACCACGCGGTCGCCTCCAGCCAGCTCCTTGACGAGCGAATAGAGCGCGACGCGGTAGACGCTTAGGTGCCATGCGTAGGACATGACCGAGCCATCTCAACTGGCGCAACAAAACCAGTTTGTTGAAGGGAATACTCGCATTCCCCAAGATGCGACGTCGAACGTCATTACTATTAACTCGATGTTGCCACCAAACACGCGCGATCCTCCTTAGGCAACCGTTATCGAACGCAGAAAGACGACGCATGTCTTCCACGCGAATCGGCCAGGACTCGCACCCACACAACAATATTGAGCGAACTGATGCACTGTAAACTCGGCCCTTTAGTGAGAATGAGACGTCGCGACGACGCCACAAGTGCCTCAAATTGACAAATGCCGATCGAGCTTTAGCGATACGAAGAGAAACTTCTTTGTTGATAGTGCCATCAGCAGAAATACAGCTCCCAAGGTAGACGAAACTATCTACCTGTTCAAGTTGTGCACCATCGAGAGTGAGTACGGGAGCAGGCAAATGCCAATCTTTGAGCAGTATTTTACACTTCGATGGGGCGAAGCTCATACCATACTTAGATGCTTCAACCGCCAAACGATCCAGAATGAGTTGCATACTCTGAGGATCGTCACCAAGTAAGGCGATATCATCAGCATAATCTAAGTCGGTCGCGCGCTCACCCGGTAGAAGCTCTAGGCCAAAATGTTGGAAACGTTCTAGAGCATTCGACAGAACGTCTTCGATTGCGAAGTTGAAGAGGAATGGGGACATAGGGCAGCCCTGTCGCACACCGCTATTGACAGTGAATTGCGAGGAAAGCTTGCCATAGACCCTCACTCTGCCGCATGTATGAAGGTAAAGTGTTCGTAAGATGGCGGTATATTTCTCTGGCACCCCGTTCTTTAGTAAGCAACGCCATAAAGCAGGACGATCAACGGAGTCAAAAGCGGCACATATGTCTAGAAATGCAATGATGGTGGGCCTGTGATAAATGTGGCGATGTTCGAGGAGCTGGCGGAGCGTGAAGATTTGATCCACGCATCCGCGGCCACGACGGAAACCAGCTTGTTCTTCACGGTAGTATGATTCACGTACTGGGGATAGTCTGCGAAGCAGAATGGATGCCAATAGTTTAGAGGCAACCGAAATAAGACTAATCCCGCGATAATTTGCACATGAAGTGCGAGCGCCTTTCTTGAAAATCGGGATAATGACTGATTCTCCCCAAGAGGAAGGCACTTTCTCTTCATGCCAAATTTTTGCGAACAGCGCGGTCAGCTGGTTAATGATCGCCACACCACCGTACTTGAATAGCTCCGGAGGAAGTCCGTCTAACCTGGCAGCTTTGAAGCGCTTCAAGCGTCGAATCTCAAGGCCGACTTCCGCTTCGCTGGGTGGATTCAGAGGGACGAGCCAGGGTGGACAACAACGTGTACTGCATGTACTGATGGATGG